CAGAGCAAGAGAAAGTAAGAGAAACCCGAAAGCCATCGAAAGCCACAAAGAGGGGCGCTGAGCGGAATGTAGAAAATGCAATACGAGCATACAGTACGGCACTAGTCACTAGGATGTTGGGGGAACCAAGACTGGATGATTCCAACACATGGGATGGCAGATTTCAGGAAAGATTAACCTACGTAGCCTAACCACCCAAGGTGCCCATGTATGATGAGCTGTATGAATTGGGAGCATCCAATGTAGGAGCTCGAATTACCGACTGTTTCCTTTCCTGAAACAGACGCTTCAAGGCCTGTTTCAAAGCACATGCCTATCCTGCCGCTCTGCCTGCTTCGCAACAAGGCAGCATGGAAAGGCCACAAAAGCCCTTGGAGCCTTCGAAAGAGCAGCCACTTGACATGGCACCGTGCCTTGCACTGTACATGGCGCAGGTGGAGTCTCATGCCGACACCTTGGCAAACGAGCTCTCCACGCACAGCCTCTCCCTTCCAATTGACGTGAAATGATTTCAAAAAAAGAAACGTGGTTGAAAATATTGAAACTGCCAGGGTTCTGTTACTTCTTTTCCAGTCTGCCCTGGCTTTCCAGGCGTTCCAGAAGCACTCAAGGAACAACTCCTCAGTGGTGTGGATGCATCATGAGCACAATGGAAATTGTTGTGCCCACTCATCTCCGCCAGCGCATGGCAAATCATCGACTTCAAAGTCGTCTTCAAAACGTTGATGCACAAGTCTTCAGGCGAGAGTCTGACCCGAACACGGCGCAGGGGCAACTTGCTGCCCTTGCTGCCCTGCCGCCTGCACAAGCAGGTGGCTTGGGGTTGGGAAAGTTGGGAACGCACTAGCACATTGAACCAAACCTGCAGAATAGCTTGCGCAGCTGCTTCGTTCGGCTCCCAGCCTGCCAAAATACAGTATTCAAAGTATTAAATACTCCTTTGCCCGGTCTACACTGCAAAGGCGTCAAGCCCATGCCACACCTTCTCGTAGAAGGGAGAAATACATTTTCTGCACGAAGGCTTTCCTCAGATCTTTCGCGGCAACTCTCATCTTCTAACAAAGGGCATCGCTATTAGGAGCAAGAAGCTACTAGGAGCAAAGGGCATCGCCACTAGGAACAAGGACGCTACTAGGGGCTCTTGGCGATTTACCTCAACTAAGATTCAAGTCCCTGCGCTGCAATGCAGAATCTGCCATCTGGCCCTGCTCCTGCATTGATGGCAGGAATGGACTTGGTTCAAACATCCTGTCAATACGAGTGCCAAACAAGCAGGGTGCAGCCACAATGTGGCCCTGCCTTGGGGTCAGAATCTTGCCCAAGGCTTTTGTTTGAACCTGCCCGGTCCGTCAGAGTGCAGCCCTGATTCCAACTGTGGCACATTGAGGCTCATTCCACTACTTGGCGCTGACTCACACGCAGAACCAATTATTGCGCTGTGCGCTTCTGTGCTGCGGCCTGCAGTGCTCTGCCAGCTCTCTTCAAAATCTCGCACCTCTGCTGCCGAAGATCGGCGGAATTGTTTCTTCTGGGCCGCTAGGTACGTCGCACTTCGAAACCAACGTGTTTGCCCGGCAAGTCAATGATCATCTCCAAAGGGCCCTCTGACTTCATGCAGGAGTTCCCTGGTTTCAGGCGTGGGAGGTGGGGCCGGGTCAATGACGCACCTTTGATGTTCTCCAAGGAAGTTCCCTCTTGTCTGCTTCGTGGCTTTTCATGACCACCTCGTTTTGCTTCCTGCAGTTTTTGCTCAAAGGCCGTGGAGGGCCTTACCTGTGTTGGTGCGCTATTCTGTTGTTGCATGTTTGCGGTTTTGTCAATTGAACTTTACCCAGGGCTTCAGTCTTGGTTCTTGGTGGATACTTTTTATGTAGACGACTCACAGTTCTTCATTGATTTTTGGCACAGGCCTCGACAGTGTGATGGTTTCCATCCTTGCATATGCGCGCTCGGAGGAAGACCGAGCTGCACCTGCACAAGCCTGCGTGGACAAACATTGTTGAAAACTCAACCGGATCAGTGACATGAGAGCGCATCGCGAACAAGGAGTTGCGGACCCGAATTGATCAGGTACGCAAACTTGAGAGAGGAGGGGGGGTGAACGAAAGGTAGCAGGGAATCATGCGTAAATACCGGCGTTTTCTGCCGGTAAGGTGCACAAAACCCTGTAAATACCATAGTTTTGTGCAATTTTGAAGCCTCCAAAAGCCTCAAAAACCCTTTCCGACAAAATCTTTCCTGGCTTTTGGTCTTTTTTCGGTCATTTTTCTAACCGAGACGCATCAAAAACTATCGGTTTTTGCGGTGTTTTTTGCCGGACAGCCACAAAAAACACTGTAAATTCCATGATTTTTGGTCACTGCTGAGGACTGGAAGAGCTGAAAACACTGGTATTTACAGTGTTTTCGAACCGTTGACCCCGAGGCGCGCTAGGGTGGAGTTGAAGGGGGAGGCGGGGGGAGCCGCCCCCCCCCCCCCCCGGCCAGCAAACGAAGATGTCGGGGACCATTTCTCCGTGAGATAGGCTGCAGCTCTGGGTTAATACATTTTTGCTAAAGCAAAAGGAAAACTCAGGTAGCATAACCACTACCTTTCGTGACATCGACCTGGACCATGTAAGCCCATTCGCACAAAACACGGGACAAACACATAGAGTTCAAGAGTTATACGCCAACATGCTCAATATATGATATGTGTGAAGGCAGGGCAGACCACCCGATCAACCCAACGCATTGTTCTTGTTCAATGCCAGTGCACTTCGATGATGTTTCTGTTCATTCTTAAAACCAGCCCCCCTTCGCTGAAAGCTTGATGCAGAAAAGACGCTTTGCTAAGAGCTTCAGTAAAAGCGGGGACTTTGCTGGCTGGCACTTCAATCTCTCCTCAGTCGCTGTTGAGGATGGGAAGAACAAAGCAAGAAAGTTATCATTCAATCATTGTAGTTCAACAGTTGGTAAGATGATGATAATGATGATGATGGTGATGATGCCTTGCACGCCAATCCTTTTTCTCCCAAATCTCACTTGGCATCTCATCTCTTGGCTACGCTTTGGCTTGCGTCAAACTATTGTAAGCACTGTGCACCTCACACTTGTCGCACAGTTTGCACTGCAAAAAATGCCAAAACAAACTCGACAAGGTTGCAGGTGATGCAAGTGAAACCCCACCTGTGACAGAACCAGAAAGAAGCTCCTCTTTCTCAGCTCCGGGCTTGGAAGTGGATGAAATAATGAAACGCCTCTGCCAACAGAAGTACCCAAAGGCCCGCCATGACGCTGAACATTACGCCTCGCACAAGACACCCCCTGTCGTGCAAGTCTAAAGGTTCAGGCGGCGCGTGCGAACTGATTCCAATCGCAGTGGCACTAGCAAAATCAAAAATATTCAAAAATACATGTGTGATATCTACATGATGGTTTCACGGGACATTCAAACCGGTATACACATGCCCCGAAGAACGTAGTCTTGCTGATGCTTGAAACGGAGGATTAGAATTGACGAGAAGTGTTAGAAAGGGTGAGAACAACAATTATCGGGATTCTTACTAGCAACCTAGCTGGTACCAGACCTCAGTGGCTCGACCTGGCGTATTTGATTGAAATATGTACCTATCTTCAAAACTAGGTGACTGATGGCACGAGGGCGTTTAAGTGTAGAGCTACGCTGGCTTAAAGCATGCTTGCATGATGATGAAGCTGTAAAGCAAAGAGGGGTGAGAGAGGGTGAAAGAAAAAGTGAAGGAGAGTGTTTGAAAAAGGATGGAATGAGAAAATGTCTGGAGGTGCAGTCGTACAAAAAGATGTGTGGATTCAGGTCCCGCCAGCCTGCCCCAAAGAGGTTTTCCAGTCGATGCTTATGCAGGTTTATGTCAAAGGTAGTTGAAGTTATTTGTTATTTGTATGGATACAGGAATGTCCCGAAGAAATCTTACAGCCGGTATGTCTGGAGCCGTATGTCCGGCTTCGCAGTTGAATGTGTGGACTCAGGTCCTGCCTTCTTACCGTCGAGGTTTGTGGAGGTGTATGTCTAGTGAGAATTAATCCTGCCAGGAAGAGGTCTTAAAGGCGATGTTTATGCAAGCTTATGTCCAGCTTGACAAGAAAATGTCTGGATTCAGGTCCTGCCCGAAAATGTCTTACAACCGATCTGTACACAGGTTTATCGGTGGTTGCACGGTGTCCCGAAGATGTCTTAAAATCGCCCCCGCGCTTTCCACCAAGGCCAGGTAAATCTGCATGGTGAAGCGACATCACAAACGTACATAAGCTTTGCCATGTGCCACAGACTAGGTGGGGAATGATGTCACTGGTTTCCTGCGTTGGACATCTTGGATGCCAGATCCTGGTTGACTTCCCCGATCTTTGCCACAGGCTGGTCAAGAAATGCGTTTGCTGTGGGACCTGGCCTGGCAACATGCTGCTACATCTTGAACAGGTTCACAGTGAACACTGGAAGGCATCTAAGAGGCTGAGTTATATAGGTATGTGCAGTTCATTTTGTACCACTTGCGCACCCCACTCGATGGTGTGCACGCCAACCCTACCAGAGGTTGGAAGAGGGCGAGAACCCAGATTCTCATAGCTGCCCTTGTTTGCGTCGATTTGCCATTTTGCATTTGATGCTTCGGGCGCATAAGCCTCTCAAAGCCAGAGACACAACCTTGGTTCGGCTGCTTGGCTCAGCATTTGGCTAAGGCCCGACGGGGCACCGGGCCCGAAAAGCGGGGTCCACGCTTTCATCGACAGGCGATGTGCGTTGGAGAAGAAGAAGAAGAAGAAGAAAATGATGATGATGATGATGATGATGATGCTGGTGATGATGTATGACATGTAATGCTCTTGTTCTTGCTCCTGCTTTTTAAAATAACCTTCGCCCAGGCGCTCTTGCGAAAAAGACTGGCAGAGGTAAAGAGTTGTGGTATGTGGCACTCGGCATGGCCCATCGACAATGCAAATGCATAGAGACAAAAAACTATTTTGTGAAGCACACAAGTGAAAAAACTAGACCGGCCACTGTCTGAGAAGAGAAACATAGCCGGCACCAGCCAACAACAGAGACCCGCTCATCCTTTGCCCACCTTCTTTGTGGTAGGCTGTGCCGGCACAGGTGACGACAATGATGCCCATGATGGCCACGTCTAACATCTCGATGTGTTTCAGAACCCTGGATATTCGAATAAACCTAGCAGCGAAAAGAAAAACATTCCTTCACTGGACCATGGCCACACCAGTAGACTCAGCAAACGATCCAACCAGCCTCCAAGCTGCATCCGGATTCGACATGTTGCAGGAGGCTAGAAGGAGACAAAGCATATTCACCTCAACACAGCACAAGACCAAGGGGGTTCCTAAGTGCAAGCAAAATGATATATATATATATATATATACAGTATATAGTAATAGGGGTTGGTATTCAGAGGGTACCCCTGGGGTAGCGATTTTATAGTGCTAAAATGCTGGGACCAACCCCCCTCAAAAAATGGTCACTTGTTGACCCTATAAAATTGAAAAAGTCGTCCCCAACTCATCCACTTGTCTATAGAGTTGCAATCCCTGACATGCAAGCCCATGCTAGTAATTCTCTATAGAATCAATATGCCTGAGGCACCAAGATCCATTACACCATCACTTCAACACCTCTATAGAATCGAGCTTGTACAAAATTATAGGACCGGATAATCCCACATGTGAACAACTTCCAAAGATTGAGGCTGCAGGGGTAAAGTGCGGAAGAGTGAGCGTGGGGAAGAGACAGGCGAGACAGATATAAGGCGTGAGGGTCTCTGTGTGTACGTGAGGTGTGTGTTTGTGTGTATGCGCTTGTTCGTCAGTGTGTATCAGTGTGTCGGTGGATGTATGCTGCTTGGCGCTTGTACTAAAGTTGTACTAGAAAGTCGCCAGTTCTCATCTTCCAGCTCCCCAGATACTCCGCGTACTAAAGTTGTACTACGCCAGTTCTCAGCTTCCAGCTCCACAGATTGCTCCGCGTACTAAAGTTGTACTACAAAGTCGCCAGTTCTCATATTCCAGCTCCTCAGATTGCTCCGCGTACTAAAGTTGTACTACAAAGTCGCCAGTTCTCATCTTCCAGCTCCACAGATTGCTCCGCGTACTTAAAGTTGTACTACAAAGTCGCCAGTTCTCATCTTCCAGCTCCGCAGATTCTCCGCGTACTAAAGTTGTACTACAAAGTCGCCAGTTCTCAGCTTCCAGCTCCACAGATGCTGCGTGCCTGGCACGAAATCTGCACATGGAGGTTCACAAAGTGCTGTGCCTGCCACGAAATCTGCGCCGGTGCCCAGCCGACGCCAGACGACGCCAGGGCGTACATCCGACCCCTTGGCAAGCAGCAAAGTGCTGCGCCTGCCACGAAATCTGCGCCGGTGCCCAGCCGACGCCAGACGACGCCAGGGCGTACATCCGACCCCTTGGGAAGCAGCAAAGTGCTGCGCCTGCCACGAAATCTGCGCCGGTGCCCAGCCGACGCCAGACGACGCCAGGGGGTACATCCGACCCCCTTGGCAGGCAGCAAAGTGCTGCGCCTGCCACGAAATCTGCGCCGGTGCCCAGCCGACGCCAGACGACGCCAGGGCGTACATCCGACCCCTTGGACTCCGACCCCTTGGCAAGTCATGTTGTGTGTGTGCTGTTGTGTGTGAGACGTTGTGTGTGGGATGTTCTCTGAGTGATGTTGT